ATGGCGCTGAATGTTGGCCTTTAAAAGAGAAGCATAATAATAAGTTAAATGTTGCCGAGATGAGAATGATTAGGTGGATGAGTGGCTTTACACTTAGAGACAAAATGCGAAATGAATATATCCCTGATAGGGTTTGTGTAGCTCTTGTGACGGACAAAATTAGAGAAAGTCATCTTAGATGGTTTGTTTACATTAAACGTCGACCATTTGATGATCTGATTAGGAGAGTAGATGTTTTAGATTCGACTTATGGTAAGAAAGGTAGACCTAGGAAGACTTGGGCTTATTGTATAAAAAATGACCATAATTTATTATAACAATGAAAATATGACACTAAATATGACGCAATGGAGAAAAATGATTTATGTAGCCGAGCCCACGTAGTGGGATTAAGGCTTTGTTGTTGTTCTTGTCATTACAGTGATCTTTTCCATACTTTTGCTAATCTTGATCGTCTTTTATTTGTATTTATTTCTCATTGTACCTTATGATGTGCAGAGTTTTTGAAGTTCGCTGCTTGCACATTCCAATCGCTGATCGGTCCCAATTTAAAGGTTGATACCCTGTGTGGATAAATTGTCGACATATATTATTAGTATGTTCTATTTGTTGTTTTAATATACTTTTCTGGTTGAAGTTGATTACCTTAGATTAAGTGGTTAAAACATTATGATACCTTGTGAAATAGCAACTCATAACAGAAACTTTTGGTATCCTTAATTTGGTTACCTTGCTACGCGTTGTAGAACGGTGGAGTTGGTGGCAAGAAGAGGAAGGAGACCAGTAGCTGGGTTGAGGGAAATGAAGAAGAATAGGAGAGGAGATATAGGAATGGCTTAAGTTTATATCATCTATCTTGATATTAGTCCTAAAAACTTGAGTGATTCTGATTTTGAGCTTTGAAAAAGGAAATTTTCAGACATAGAATTACACAAGTTTTCGCAATATTACATGTTCTTCCTTTCAATGCAGAGCTGGTGGCATTTGTTGAGTATTCTGTGAAGCACGAGCACAGGCAATCACCGAACAAGCCAATTTATCTTCTTGGAGATTCATTTGGATGTTGCTTGGCACTTGCAGTTGCTGCTCGTAACCCCACGATTGATCTTGTGCTAATCCTAGTTAACCCAGGTCAGACCAAATATAAGAGCTTGTTTGGGATCAATTTTGTTTTTTTTTGGTAAAAATATGTTTAATTTTTACGTATTTTGAGTGTTCTTAATAGAATCAATCTTAATCAAATATGCCAAACATATTTTATTTCAAATCAGAACATAAACAAAATAAAATAAAAATAAAATATAGATATTTTATTTCAAATCAGAACATAAACAAAATAAAGTAAAAATAAAATATAAAAAAAATCCTAAACTACCCATAATTAAGTATGCCAAACATGCTTTTTTTTTAAAACAAAACAAATATAAAATAAATAAAATACAAATTAGAAAATAGAAAATAAAAGTGATCCCAGTAGCCTCTAAACAAATCTGATTATTGTTATGGTGAATTTTTTATTTATAGTTGCATTAGTTTGGTATTTGCATCGCCTTGCTAATTAATGCTTCTTTCAGCTTCTTCATTTGGGAGGTCACAGTTGCAGCCCTTGCTTCCAGTTTTGGAGGCTTTACCTAGTGAACTTCATGTTGCTGTTCCGTATCTACTCAGTTTTTTCCTGGGTATATATATCTTCATTCTCATTATAAATTTCATGCTCGAATTTTTTTTGCTGGGGAGTTATTATCTTCATCATTAACTTTATCTTTAGCTATTTGGAATAGGCCATGAGTAAATTTTCATGTTTGGCTTGTTTCATGAAACAAATTACTTGCACGGTGCAAGTTTTTTGTTTATGCCCGAGGCTGCAATGTATGTCCTAAAATGCCCTCTCACATGGCTATTTGTCTGGTTAATGATAATTTGGCCTGATTAAGTTGGGACCTGGGAGAATGAGGTTAAACCTTCTATTGGCAAGATTGTTGCCGGAGGATACTTCTTGTATGTTGGCATGGAGATTTTGATATTGTTTTTCTTTTTTTATGGTTGTTACTATCACGATTTGATGAAGTGGATTCATAGGTTTCTATCTCACTGTGTTTTCCTTAAACCTTTTGGTTATGAGTCTCAATCCTTAGCCTGATTCTTTGTGAGTTGCGTAGCATAATTGGCTAGGCTCCTTGTACAATCATCTCCTTGTAAGAATAGAAGCAAGTGTAATTTTGCATTAATGTCTTCAAAAAATCTACCAAGCTATAAAGATTCAATTTACTACTCTTAAAGTTCTATGTTATGATGATGCATAGGAACATCTGCAATCTACTTTTCATTCCTTTTGTGCTATGAATGATATTATAATTTGATCATCTTGCTTTTTTGCGTTGCAAGAAAATGATTTGGCTGAACAAAAACACCAACTTCTTATTGAGGCTACTTTTACCATAATGGTTCATGTGAATGTTCCATATATATCATGGAAAAATGCCAGTCTAACATCCTGCCATTTAATTAACCATGTTTCTTACACTATTTAGAATAGGGCCTTTTCCCTTCTATTTCCTAGAAAATACATTTTTTCCTTTTAGCCATTGTATTTTCTATTGTGTTTTGCCCATTTTCTTTTCCTTGGATCGAACAAACCTTCTCTTTGTGCTTATATATATATATATATTAAAAAAGAAATGGCTAGAGGCTATTATACGAGCCTTCAACCATCTCTAATGTGCCTAACAATTCGAGTACAACCTTTTTAAGGCCAACCGTGCCAAAGGGGATTCGAACCCCGACCTGAGGGTTCTTATACCGTGGATACCATCCAACAGGCCGAGGTACGCAATACACACACACATATATATGGGTTATTCTTGGATTTATTTTAGTCATATTTGTTATAATTCCTCTGTTAATGGCTTTTATATCTTCATGGATGTTCTCTTTCATAAAGAATCCCCTACTACCGCTCAATCCTTACTATTACAGAATCTCATAGTATTCCTCTTCCATTGGTTGCTCCTTATTTGCTCCTACTCGACAAGTTTATACTTGTGACAGCGATAACCTTCCTCGAATACACTTCTGAACAGCATTTGCCTCTAAACTCCAATCTCTTATCTTCTCATTGCTTTTTGAAAGGTAATTGACTAATTACTTTCCACCACATATACTCCCTTATTTATCATCATCGTTTTAGTATTTTGCTTTCTCTCTATCCATTGTTTATATTCTCATGACATCTAAAAAATTACTTGATCCTAATTTAAAACATGCGATGTATATACTAATTGGGGCTCTCTTTAATCCTCACACATGTGATGTCTTGTCAGTGGATGTTCTTGAATAATTTTGATCATTATTGTACAATTGATCGCTACAGGGCCTAGCAAAAAGCTCATGACATTGTTTATCTCAAGATTTTCTCATATGTGGCTTAACTAAATCTTGTTTGTCTTCCTCCCCCTTTTTATTTAATCAAATGTGGTCTTTGCTTGGAAAGGATGTGAGATTGCCTACTCTATAATGATCTTTTTAAGGCTCTTTATATCAAATGTGATCCTTATTTAAAACATGCAATTTATATACTTATGGGGGTTTTCTTTAATCCTCACACATGTGATCTAGTTTCATCACTTGTTGATGTCAGAAGTATTTCTTGTCAATGGATGTTCATGAATAATTATGATCATTATTGTTGAATTGATCGCTACAAGGCTTAGCAAAAAGTTCATAACATTGTTTATCTCAAGATTTTCTCATATGTGGCTTAACTAAATCTTGTTTGTCTTCCTCCCCCTTTTTATTTAATCAAATGTGGTCTTTGCTTGGAAAGGATGTGAGATTGCCTACTCTATAATGATCTTTTTAAGGCTCTTTATATCAAATGTGATCCTTATTTAAAACATGCAATTTATATACTTATGGGGGTTTTCTTTAATCCTCACACATGTGATCTAGTTTCATCACTTGTTGATGTCAGAAGTATTTCTTGTCAATGGATGTTCATGAATAATTATGATCATTATTGTTGAATTGATCGCTACAAGGCTTAGCAAAAAGTTCATAACATTGATTATCTTAAGACTTTCTCATCTTTGGCTTAACTAAATCTTGTTTGTCTTTTTCTCTCTTCTTATCTAATCAAATATGGTCTTTGCTTGAAAAGGATGTATGTCTTACTTATGCCACATCAAGAAATGCACAATAGAGAGAAAACTCTTACATGCATCTCTTGGTGTGGCATAAGTAAAAAATTAGTATTTCCTAATTAATTACCCGCACACGTTTGTTTTGACGATGAGAAAATTCCCTAAATATTAAACCCTAAACCCTAATTATTTTTAAACTTTCACATAGGTACATGAAGACCTGTCGTATTGATGTGGTAGGATTAAGGGACTCAGTCTTGGCGTCTCAAAACCCACTCATTCACATTTTTTACTAGGGTGGAAAACCCCAACACTCTTGAAGATGCCTTGTACTCTAGGAAGGACATTGGGAGGTTGTCAATTCTTTAGTGGTAGTATTTGAAATTGAATGAGTTGACATGACCTACGAGACTTAAAACATGAGAAAAAAATTGTAATGTAAAAATAGTATTAACAAGAACTTACGATGGAATAAAAGTTGTTGAAATAATTAAAGAACTAAGTAGTACCAAACTATGAATTGAACACGGAATTGGGCGTACAGAGGACTTGCGATAAACTCGATAGCTTGCTTGTAGGTACAATTAGAACTTTCATTCAAAACACAAATGAATGCTCAGAACCCTTAGGAAATACTTTCAACAAACAGAACTTGAAATGCAGATCATTTGCAAGTTTGGATTAAATGAAGATCATTTGCAACACTTTATAAACATTAGAACCTCCTAATTATCGCAGCTGAATAAACAAATTAATACATGCATGAAAACGGATTGCGACTAATAATGGACTCAAAAATGAAAGTTAAATGTGTCATGATGGCTGTACATTCACATGAACACTCACAACATCTAGCTTTTATACCTTAAAATGGACGTGCATTCGCTTGAATGCATGCTTTTCCAAATAAATTAAAATGTTCCAATCCACTGGATGTCTTGGAATGCATGTTTTTCCAAATAAATTAATTACGAGTTGCCCAAGTGACATGTTTGACAATTATAAAAAATAGCTCCATGGATGTTTAATGGGCAACACGCTTTTGTGAATAACAACATATTTCCAAAAACATGAAAAAAATAAAATTAAATAAAGTAGTTCATAAGTGATGTTGTTGTTTCAACAAGACATGTATGATGAGTCAAATCATCACAAAACCCTGCTTGTACTCTTATGAATGAGTTAAAATATCCAAACAAATCATCTTGAAATGCTGCATGCACTCACATTAAACAAATTTAAATCATCCCTCTTTGAGAAGCACACAGTCATTTTTGAAAATTTCAACCCCTCTTTCAATGTCCAAAGCTCAAACATAATGTGTGCGCGTTCTCAAGAAGGCCTCAAATCCAATTGACCATATCACAAATGTTGGACTCTACCTGATTTATGTTAAAGAATCGTGTTTAAACCCATGTACTTAGGTTAATATAACTAACTTGTCATCAAGGGATGGAAAATAGATGCTCTTCAATGAATACCATAACTTTTATTTTATCAAATATTTACATATGGCTGCGGCCGTTTATTTTTTAAACTTCGTGATTTAAAGAAGTGATGATTTTGTAATTTTTAAAATAATTTAAATATGAATATAACCCTTTTTTAT